TTTTTATTAATTTCCTGCCAACAACATGGAAAAATGGAAGACAGAAGCGCATCTATGATTTCTACGCTGCTGAGCGAGGATTGCACCAGAGCATTAAATGTGTTCATCACTTGATTATCCATCTTCTTTTTTAATTATTTTAACCATGAGAGAGTGACCAGCTGCATGTACATGGCTTATCTTTGAGTTGTGCATCCAATGTTAGGTTGGTGGAGAGTAAACGCAGAGGGATTTAAAATGGAAGAGCGAAAGTTGGAAAATTAAATGCTGCTTCTCGCAGTATTTCAGGATGCAGCTGTTTGTATTTATATTTCAAATATATATTTGAAAAAATTTGAATTTGTTTATTTAAAATTAATGTTTTTTTATATTTTTAAATTATTTTGATACACGTATTTATTTAAAAAATAAAAAATATTATTTTAATTAAAAATTACTTTAAAAATGAATTACTATCTTAAAAAAGAAACAGAGGGATGCTTGTTATTGTATCCATACCAATGTGTCAATCAGTGTCGTTTGTTGGCAGAAAACAATCAAGATGGTTGAAAAAATTGATCACCGCTGACAAGTCTTCTTGATTGTTTTCTGCCAACAAACGACACTGATTGAAGTATACCATTGCAAGGGAGGGTTAATTAAAAATATCAATTAAATCTTGATTAAAGTATAATTTTGACTTGATGTGCTCTGAGAACGTGCACCAAGTTTTTTTCTTAGTATTTTGTTTTGTCCTGAAGGGCGACGACAATATGGAGCCATGTGCTTCTTATTGTTTAGCGTTGACGAAGATGTTCAAGAAAAGGTCAAGAACCTAGCATCATTTTTAATGGCAGCGGAGTTCTCTTCTAGGATGAGAAAAAAAAATAAAAAAAAATAAATAAATAAATAAGGGCTCTATGCTTGCGTCAACTTTAGACTCCCATTATTAATAAATAGGTAATGTAACGGTGATTTTCCGTGTTTAAAAATATAATAATAATTATTTTTTAAAATATTTTTTATTTATAAATATATTAAAATAATATTTTTAAATTTTTAAAAAATTATTTTTGATATTAACACATTACAATTACAATGATCTGAAAATATTAAAAAATATTAATTTAAAATAAAAAAATTCAAAATTTTTAAAAATACTTTTAAAATACAAAAACAAACAAGTTTAATTTTATCTTATAGATTGAGACATGAGAAGTTTTTTTTATTCATTTTACACTATAGAACAGTTCTAGTTCTTGTTCATGGAGGTTTTAAATGAATCTTTAATAATAATTTCTTGAAAAAAACAAATAAATAATATTCATATTGCTTCTTTTTTTTATGTTCCCATCTTGTATGATAATATACAAAAGAAAGATGTTTCCTGATTAAATCCTCCTCCAAATATATGTTATTTATTGTTTATGGTTGTAATAAATATCAATAATGAACTTATTTGCTATTTGTTGTGTAATAATCTATGCTTCGACATTAAAATAATATAACCCTAATAAACCAATAAAAGTATGATAATGTAGGAAAGAAAGATTATCCTAGTCAAGCCGTTTGGATTTTTCTTTTTTTAACTATATATATAAAGCTTTTGAAACTTTTGAAAAGTATATAAAACATTTGTTGAGAATAACACTAACAAACCAATAAAAGTTTCTCAAAAAGATGCTGGTAGAAAGTATAACTCATAAATTTATAACATTTTATGAAACTCATGAAATTGAAGCAATTATTTAATGCAGTCTATCTACCTCAACAAAATAATATTTATAAAATAAAAAATCACACTAATTATATTGATATGGTGTGAAGTTTTTTGACAAGAAGTGGTGCAACAAAAAATGAATTAGAGTATTTGTATGTTGATTATAAATCCTATACTTGTTAAAAATATGACACAGAGAAAGCTTGAAATGAAAAAAGACTAAAGATATATCATTTTATAATTTTTAAATGTATTTTCAATGCTTAAATTCCATATTAAAAGAGTAAAAAGCTTGATGATGATAAAGAAATATGTATTTTTTTATATTGATGAATATTTAAAAGCTTGTAAACTATATAATTTTAGTACAAAGAAAATTGTTATTAGTTATGATATTATGTTTAATGAAGCTAAATTCTGGACATGGTGCAATAGTGGTGTTAAGCAAAATATTCAGGTTTATAAAGTGAATGTGATGAGAAAAGAAGTCTATAGAAAATACATCAAAACTAGTAAATAATTAAAGCCTATTTGTAACATCATCATACAGTGATGAACAATCACAACATTTAAAAACAGGCTTTTATAGATAAATATTTTTAAAAAAAGAAATAAGATGAAGTATTAGTAGATATTTAAGGTGATGAGATTGGGCAGGTGACTGAGAAGGGGTAGTAAATACTAGTTTCTAGCTACTTTTTTTTTTATTTTATCAAATCATGATAGAATAACATTTTAGAAATGTTTAGAAATATGGTAGTAGTTATTTTTCAAAATGATTTTTGCTTTGAAATGTATTAAGATAATATTTTTTTATTTTTAAAAATTATTTTTCATATTAATATATGCAAAAAAAATTAAATAATTAACTTTAAATAAAATAAATATTTTTTTATAAAACACTGTTTGGGCCGTCGTGTTCCAAATAGCACCTTCATTAATCATCACACATTTAATTTATATCTTTTAGATTTTATTTTTATATAAATTTTATTTGAGGCCTTTAAAAAATTAGTTTAATGATAATACCGAAATTAAAAACATTATCTAATTTTAATCAAATACAAGTCAATCCCACTCTGAAATATAATTTTCAAACACTCCTTTAAATATTTAATCCTACTTAATGTGCTAGATTTTTTTTTTCAGGAGAGACCTTGAGCAATATATAAATCCAATTAAAACAAGAAGAAGTCCTATTATTATATATTGATGTTCGGCTTCAAGTCTACTAAGAATCTATTATTATATATTGATATTTTTTCCCTTGATAATTATTCTTTGTTGTCCTTACACTACTCTAATTAAACTAGCTGCTCAATTAAAATTTTTAAAATGATTAATTTTAATATCTTCGCCGGCAGGCTAGGATGAGGATGGCGCGGCTGTGATTGGGCGGTCCTAATAGATCCAGAGGTTCTGAGCTTCTCGGTTAGGCGGGTTCGCACCTTGGATTTGGGTCAAGTGGTTGTGTCTGGGCTGGGTAGAGCCTCTTCTCTGGGTTGAAACTCGAAATGCTAGAAATTAAATACAAAAAATTGGAAAATAGCCTCATTTGTTGAATTTATCTGCAAGTTATTAGATTAATTTGACTTAATTATTTCTATTAAAATAGAATAATTTTGTTATTTTTATCCGATTTCACACACGTTGACGTTTTAAAATTTGAACCAAATGAAACTCTAAATTATGAATTTTTTAAACTAATCTAACTAAATTATGATCCACGGAATTGATTAATATATGAAACTAACGGATGGTAGCACGATTATATCTTATATGTAAAAAATTAAACAATTGAGCATGATTCTTAAAGAGTTAAAGAGAAATAAAAGGAGGATTTATTTAAAGGAGGTATATGATATACATTTAAGTTTCTTCTAAAAAAAGGCACAAAAAGAACAATGCCTTTCGTGTATTGTATTGTGAGCAAGAATTAAATTAGTAACTAAAAATACTAGAAATTAAATATAAAAAATTGGAAAATAGCCTCAGTTATTGAATTCATTTACGAGTTATAAGATTAATTTGACTTAATTTTTTTATTAAAATTAAAATTTTACACTCTAAATTACAATTTTTCTAGATTAACTTAACTTAACTGGATGTAACAATTATGAGATGATTAATATATGAAATGAGCTTCTGGTAGTTCTATTATATCTTATATAAAAAAATTATACTATTTAACATGATTTTTAATTATCTAATAAGTAATTCAGTAATAAAAAATTTTATATGATTTTAAATTTAAATTTTGCTATTACTAATATTAATCATTACTAAATATTTATTTATTTATTAATTTTATATTTTATAAAATTAATTGAAATATATATAAGCTGATACTAATAAAAGACAAATAGATAGGATTGACATTCATTCAAAGGAGGCATGTAGTCTGCATTTAAGGTTCTTCTCGTGAAAAAAAATGGCACAAAAAACTAGGCAGCTATTACAGTGAGCAGCATCCCATTTCTCACCCACCTTTCTATGACTCACTGTCCAAAACCTAGACTTTGCAAGGCTATGCCACTGTCCATTTCTATTGGTCCATCGGGACTCGGAACACTAGCTGGCCTCGCTCAGGTCTCATCTCTTGCTATTTACTGCCCATTAATGGAGACGGTTATGTAACTAAGCACCACACAAGGTGATGCTGCTCTTCAGGGCATGCCCAGCCTTTGAGTGGTTCCTGATACTCACATGACCGGTGGCATTAACGTCAACAGGGCATTAATACTCCACAAACTTGCCCTGAAACGAACCAGGCTAGTGATGATTAAGAGGTATCGAAAGTAGATTAAGTTTAATCAATGTCTTAAGGTAGAATTGTGAGCATTAATGCACGACCCATATATTTCAACACACGCACGCACGCACGCACTCGTTACCATTTTCATGCAGACAGAGATGAACAGGAGTAGCAAAACGAAATGAAAGCAAGAAAAATGAAAGTAAACAATGTGATTGCGATTCTCTTAGCACTGCTTTTGATACCAGAATCACTCTCAGAAGCGAGAGCTCACCTCAAACACGGACAAATTACCAGAGGCAAAGAAAAAGAAGAGAAGAGAATTAGAAGTAGCAGCGGCAGTAGAAGCAGAAGCAGCGGAGGTAGTGGTAGACAGAGCAGAAGTAGTGGAAGAAGATCAAGAGGATCATCCAACTGTGACCCATTATTCCAGTACCTATTTAGAAGCTGTGGCCAATGGCCTTTCCCAACTTCCATCTCACCAGACAACCCATTTCAGCCCTCACCAAGACCCTCCCCTCCTAGAAGGAGAACTCCATTGCCTCCTCAAGTGCCTTCTCCTCCTCCACTTGTTCTATCTCCACCACCAGCCGTGCAACCTGCTTTAGTCCCATCCCCCCCAGCCGTAGTCCCATCACCACCACCAGTTGCTACACCCCCACCACCCTCGTCACAGACACCATTGTCACCACCGCTCTCTTCCCCACCACCAGCTGTGCAACCTCCTTTAGTACCATCACCACAACAAGTTGTTACATCCCCACCACCCTTGTCACCGCCACCATCGTCACCACCGCTCTCTTCCCCACCACCACCACCTCCTCCATCTCCTCCTCCACCTCCACCTCCCCCTCCATCACCACCACCCTCTCCTCCTCCAGTACCATTAGAATTCCCACCACCTCCCCTGGTCCCTTTACCAACACCACCTGAAGTGACCCCATCGCCAATAAATCCATGGCTATTACCTCCATCTGAATTCACACCTCCACCACCACTAGTCCCAATAATTGATCCACCAACAGACCAGCCAGACATACCACCAGATAACGAGTTTACACCAGCACCACCATTAGTTCCAATATTTGACCCACCAACAGAACCAGATATCCCATCACCAGATAATGAGTTGACACCATCCCCAATATTTTCCCCACCAAGTACTGATCAACCAAATTTTCCACCAGATGAATTTACACTATCACCACCATTTCCCTTATTTAATCCACCACCACAACAAGATTTACCACCAGCTGATGAGCTCACGCCAACACCTTTTCTACCAATATTATCACCACCACCACCACCACCACCGGTCTACCAATATTATCACCACCACCACCACCGTGGGGAGATTTTCCACCATTTCCACCATTTATAGGATCACCACCAACACCTTTAGTCCCCGTATTTTCTCCACCAGTGCCTGATGATCAGCCTCCACAATTTCCACTACCTGTAGAATCAACCACCCCAAATGCACCCGACCTTTATTTTGCACCTTTAGTGCCTGAAATACCAGATAATCCACGGGAGCAACTACCATTTTCTTCTGTGCCACCAGCACCGGATGCTGTATAAAATGAGCCAGTGCAAATGCTCCCCACTTCAGTTCCACAACCACTGATTGCTCCTCCCTTAAAGAACTGGGTGTTAGCATTAATCTTGGTGTATGTCTTTCAGCTTGTTCTTTCATCACTATATTTTTACTCCTGTCGAGTGTAGAATATTGTTATAAATCATGAAAGTATGAAAGCACAAAGATCTATCGATTGCAACGATCTCTTTAATGCATAGGTTGAGAGTTGACAGGGGAGCTAAAAGTTTCAAAAAGATTTAGCGACCTCGTATATGGAGATTTAATAGCACCCCAAAGTTTATGATTCTCTTATATAGGTCCCTCTATTCTTAAAACTATTGTGGGTTCTTTGAAAAATAAATGTAATGGAATTGAGCTGGTTTAAAAGTAATATATAGAATTGGGCCTTTCCATTACCTTTTTTTATATACTTTCTTTGGGCCATGTAGATCTATATACGCAAAGTCAAAAGCAAGGCCCAGTTCCTAAAAGTTTCACACCACAACGCTTTCGGAAAATTAAAAAGTTTCATTAATATTCTTTCTTCCGTTACAATTTTACAATTCAAGTAAAAAAACCTTTTCTCTTCTTTATAGTTATAAAACCTCAATAACCTTCAATCATTAATTTAGGAACTGAGTCGGCCAGTCTCATGGTCTTAACCAATCCAAGTTGAGAAAAAATAGGTTAAATTATTAATTTAATCTGACTTGATTAAAATTTTAATTCTTAATTTGTTGTTTTTCCTAAAAAAATTATATATAAAAAAAATTATGATCAATTTGGATTTGCTCTCTTAACTCATAGCTTAAATTTTGTTTAAATCTGAGATTTAATTAGGTTTTATAAATATCATCTTTCATAGTTTTGAATTGAATTCATAGAAAGATGCTTGTCTTTATTTACATATGTGAATGGTGATTTTTTTTTAATATTTAATTCATTATCCTTACTTTGTTTTACTTATTAAATTGCCTTGAAATTTCAAGTCTATAATATCTATTTTGAATTGTAATTTCTAAAATAAGATGTTTCATGGTATAATTCATATAAATAATTATTTATGAAAAAATTTAGTAATAAGTTAAAGAGTGTGGGTGATCACTGTTCACCCACTATTATATTGTAGATTACAATAGTAATTTATGGTGTATTTTTTATTTTTTTGTTTTTGTTTATTTTTTTATTTTTTTTCAAAATTATTTTTTCCTAATTTTTTTTGTTTATTTTTTAAATTATTTATACTTTGTTTATTTTTTATTTTTTTTCAAAATTATTTTTTTCCTAATTTTTTTTTTGTATATTTTTTAAATTATTTATACCAGTTTTATTTTTTAATATTTTGCTAGTATATATGATATGGTGTGAATTGGTTTAAATACTTTTATTAAGTTTGTACTAATTCCAATAAAATAAAAATATTAATATACACAAATAAGAAGAGATATCTCGAACACTTGATTTGGTTGTACCCATCACTCTAGTTGGGTTGCCTCGCTTTGACTTGATTGAATATTGTAGTTTTCAGTTTAGTTTACGTGAATATATATTTTTTTTTTTTGAGATTGTAGATTTGTTAAACCATCACATTGCCAAGTAGCATTCCTTTTCTCTTTTGTGTTTTTTTTTTTTTTTTTTCTGGCCTCCCGCAATGCTCAAAAACTTGCTGAAGAATGGCTAAGGTCTCCATGTTAAATAAAATGGTTATCGTCTCTCATACTTCAAAGATTCTTCATGTTCACTCGTTTGGTGCATGCTATACTGCACTAGAACATAGATAATCTCAATTTTATATTCAAATTATTTTTTATATCGATTTTACCATGCAACTGTTAAAATTCCTTGATTAAGGACCTTTTCTATTTTAAAAGCTTTTTATTTAAATTGTACCTTTGTTTTTTTTTTTTTTAAAATAAAGTTATTCAAGCTTTTTATTTAAATTGTACCTTTGTTTGTTTTTTTAAAAAATAAATTTATTTAATGGGGAACTTCAAATTCTTCATTTGGTGTTCTATAGAAGTACTCAATTAAGAAATTAAAATAATTTAAAAGTAAAATTGATATAAAGAATATCTTGGATGCAAAATTAATAATTTGATGGTATATTTGAGTTCTTTCCTTTAATGGATTGGGTTCCATCCTTTTATAGTATTCTGCCGGAGCCAGGGACAAAAAAAGAAAGAGAGAGGGTATCCTGTCTCATGCTAGCATGGGCTTTAAGTCTCCTGGAAATACTAAAATGGGCTTAAATTAAGAGGTTGCTCAAAACTGGACTCTCTGTCTCATGCTAACATGGGCTTTAAGTCTCCTGGAAATGCAAAGATGGGCTTCAATTAATCAAAACTGTCTCAGGTTGAATTCCACTAGCTACACTTTTTTAGTATGGTAAATTTCTGCGGGCACCGGTTTAAGAGCCCGGAAATTGATATATATAAGCCGGTCCGGATACCCCGGTTTTTTTAAAAACAGATGAACTCTTTCGTGTTTCTCGGCTTGACTTGCTGGTGGTCTCATGAAAGGGCAATGACTGATACTAGATGCTCATACAATCAACGCGTGACGGCAAAGTCACTAACTTCACATTAGAAAACAAGGAAGCCACTTATTTCCGATCCCTGTCCACTCTCTTATCTAGTTATTTAGGACGCTATCTAGGTCTACAGCTTTTCCGAGTCAATTTAAAAAAACATAAAAAGATATAATTAGGATAAAAAAAATTAGCTGAAATATTTTTATTATTTTTTTATGTATCATAAATTTTATATAAATTTTAAAAAATAATTAATAAAATATCATCAATTACATTTATCAAAATTTTCTACTAAATAATAACCGTTCAATGTTGAGATGATGCCTTGCATCACTCGTTTGGTGATAAATTAGCTTGCTATCATAGTTACGGGCACATTAGACAAAGATGCTGGGCACGACAAATTAGCTCCACGTGTCAGCACCTGGTTTGCTTGTGCTCTCGGAATTCTTATCTGAATGTCAATTTCGTGGAAGATAAAAATGCATGAACCCAATTTATTATGGGCTGACATGTGGCACAAAATATCTAGACGTTAATGAATGAGGTGTCCCCCAATAGGAGGAAACATGATTAATATAAAATAATTTCATATTATTTCAAGTAAGAATAATTTAAAAAACATAAATCCAAAATTTACAGCAGAGATAACAACAATATTTTGGTTAGCAATTTTTTTTTTTAATTAAGTGTTATTTTCCTCAGGCCAGGTCCTTGCATTTGTTACTGAACTTGTTCTCGTAATTGATTATAAAAAAGTCCTTGCATTTGTTACTGAACTTGTTCTCATAATTGATTATAAAAAAAATAAATGAAAATATGTTTTAAAATTAGTGATATTTTAAAACAGGGTCGGATATTTTATTTTTAGATAAACGGAGCCCTAATTAACGTGCGTGTCGCTAAAATAATTATTGGATCTGTCGGTGTCCACAGACAAGCCACGAATATTATTATTATTATTATTATTATGTATATACGATAAAAACATATCTTACATTCCATGCCCCATGGCCAGTTTCGGCCACCCATAATAAACACGTGAAGATGTCCTCTTATTATTAATTAATTACAGCCAAATTTAAGAAATTTGGCTGCTTTTACTGTTCACTCTCATGTGAGCAGTGCGGGGTGTTTTAGGAAAAAAAATATGTTCATGCATTTTTGCCCTTTTCTTTTCGCACTGTTCATGTGAACCGTGCATGTTGACAGACCAATCAACTAGTTTCAATGGTAAAGCCACAAATCGTGTGCTCCTACTACTACACAGCCACCACATCACCTTTCTAGTTTCAATGGTAAAGCCACAAATCGTGAGCTCCTACTACTACACAGCCACCAGAAAACACACACAAAAAAAAAAAAAAAAACCATGAGCAATTCAAAAAAAAACCTTGAATTGAAAGTCGGGTGATCAAATAATTAATCAAAGATTAAATACTAAATTTATAGTTTTTCCTTCCATTCCCGGTAATTAATCAAAGGTTAAAGTCTCTATTTATACTAGGTATACTTTCTTATTACAATTTGCTAGAATTAAGGATTTATCTCGACCAATGAGTGGTTTTTTTTCACTATTTAAGTCGTTATCATCAACTTTCCTTTCATTTTCCTTAATATCATCACTCACTCCCACCATCTCCACCCTTTTTATTGAGATGTATCGATTTTTTTAATAATAATAAAATCAAAATATAGATTGTTTTCTAATTCTTCTATGAGGATAATTATACTATATTTTAGGTCTTACTTTTTTATATATATAATCTATATCTATATGTATTATTTTTTAACTTTTTGATGTGGAATAGCCATACATGACTACATCCATATATATTATTTCTTAATTTTTTAATATAAAATAATTATTATATATAATCTACATAAACGTGTTTTGTTTCTTAATTTTCTAATAAAATATAATTATATTATTTTTTTATATATAGTCTACATTTATATAGATTATTTCTTAATTTTTTAATGTTAAATAATTATATATAATTTACATCCATATTAATTATTTATTAAGTTTTTGATATGATACAAGTATATTATATATTTTTTTATAGCCTATATCTATATAGATTGTTTTTTAATTTTTAATGTGAGATAACTATAGTATATTTTATGTCTCATATTTTTTTTTATAGCTTATGTATACACATATATTGTTTAAAAAAATTATATGAAATATTAAAATTTTAAATATTTTTTTTTCTAAATTAACTTAGAACTAGAACTTGATCTCTTGATGGAAAGAAACCGAAGTTTAATAACTACAAGGAAAACATATCCGACTGTAGAAACGCACTTGAATGATTGTGCGTTTTCTTTAAATTCTTTAGTTATTTTCGATTATTAAAAGTCCCATCATTCATATGGCAGTATAGAAAAAAAAAAAATTCTTTATTTATATTTCATTTATTAAAGCCAGAAAAAAAGTGACGAGTTTAATTAAATTATAATTAATTGCGTTGATTGGAATTTACAGATAATCATTGTTGAGTGGGGAAAATAACACGGGTATTGATGCACGTGTATTTTCTATGAAGTCTCGCCAAATTGACAAATATATATGAAATTTTAT